CACACACACACACACACACACACACACACCGAAAGAAAATAAAAACAAACAGAAAAAGAAGAGAGTGGGCAGCTTTTAATCACCACACGACAAAAATCGCAGAAATATATACTGTGCATAGAGGGCAAGTTTCTGACAGGAGTGGAAGTCAAAAGAGCGGCAACCATAAGACGTTCGCAGACCAAGTCAGCAGCACCATCACACGTTGTTGATCATCGGAGGAAGTGCGCACCGAGATGGAACAGTTCAAGTGTGGATACTAAAGCACTAGATGGGTAAGGAGTCTAGGCCTTCATGATGGACCGACGCTAGTCTTTACTGCGAGCGATTAGCAATAGGCTAATTATGAGATCATATACAATCAACCCTAGTGAATAGTAGTGATCACTTGCAACTAACAATCGCACTGTCAAATTTAGGTAGAGGTCCCTCTAATTCTCAGGGAATTTGTTTGAGCGACAACACTACCACTTTGGACATTCCGATTTTGCCAAAGCGCCTATCCCCTCGAACCCAGTGCGAGAGCTAACAAATTATAGTCAATTGGATTGTAACCCACCATAGACGTAGATGATTCCAAGATGTCCAAGACATTGAAGACATGAGCAAATTATGTCCTTTCACTTTTTACCCACCTTAACGCCGGTTGTGGTTACGCATCAATGATATATATATCGTCAAAATATTCAGCCTCCTGATGAGTCGGTGAAACACCGACGAAACGGTTTGGCACAGCCCCTCGTGTGTTGTCCTCTTCTCCCTCTCTGCCGGCGGCTTACCCGGCAGTTCTGTTTGATGATATATACCACGACTTCGATAAAACCCTGCTACGGTTTTCTCCGGTCAGGTTGAGCGTCTGTGGTCGGGGCCGGGCTGTGCCTCTAGTGCCAGCGGCGTGTCTGGAGTGTATTTTTTGGCTGTGATAGACCTTTCTTTGTTTCGTGGGTGTTTTGCTGGCTTGTGATGGGGTGTGACCGATAGTCTGTAGAGTTCTCCATCTGGTGTGTGTGAGCGATAGTCTGCTTTGGTTTTCGTCACAGGTACCTTGAGGGCAGTGGTTGGTGGTTCCCACCTCCTCAGAGGGGTATCAGTTGTCGGGCAGTCGTTGACGCTTGATCACAACCGGGGTTAAGGTGGATTATCACTTACAGTGTAATCAGTCAGTTAGGGGATTCTGCAGACTGTTGAGGGTTCAGCCTCCTCCTGATAAGTCAGTCGGTGAAACTCCGACGAAACAGTTTGTCACAGCCCCTCGTTTGTTGTCCTCTTCTCCCTCCCTCTCTGCCCCTACGCTTTACCGGGCAGCTCCGTTTGATGATATATAACCACAAGTATTCAGTCATCAACATACCCTTTCCATGGCACCCAGACAAAGCACACCCCACCTAGGGTGGCTGAGAGCTTGAGACTCGAGTCTCAAGCTCTCACCCACCACCCTCCTAGGTTACCAGCCATTGCAAGAAGACAGACAAGACATTCAATGTGCACACTCTCCACAACCAAACCCCTCCTTCCACAGTCACGCGAAAACCTATTCTGCCTTTTTCACAATGGAGTCAGCGCTCCACACTGCCCAGTTGGGTTCCAGATTACATGCCCAGACATGCCCAGACATGCCCAGGTGGAGCTCTCGCCATTCCAGATCGTTCAAGAACGTAAAAGCACTGGGAGAGAAGTCGTTCCGATGCACTTAGGAAAAGCTTAGGACGCAAAGTTTATAATTTTCTGCAATCATGTTTGACTATGACAAAAAGCATTAGTGCAAGCTTTGCGAAAACAAAAGTTCATTTTGTCACGAGGGTCCGTGAACGGGTGAGTTAGCTGTCACAAATGGAATTGTCCGTTGGCCGGCGCAAACCAAACTGTGAACAGCACCTCTCCCACTCAACCACCACCACACCCACACACCCACACACCCACACACCCACACACAATAGACCCATATACACCCACCCACCCGCCCGCTCACGCATGCATGCACAGGGCCACCCACCCCTGCATGCACACACGCAAACAAAATTGCGCAGCTTTTGTCTCTTGCTTGGTGAAGACCAACTGGAAGTGTTATCAATACTTCACACATTACTAGCATATATCTTCAGCTGGCCTGAATTCATGGCACAATGGATGTTCGTCTTCTTTATCGACATCAACAGCCAGATAGCGTGCCTTCCTGTTTTCTTTCCACGTTGCAGTCATCATTACCATCATCATCATTACCATCATCATCATCACCATCATGAAACTAGCGACACAATGATCATCACGGCGAGAAAAGTACCACCGTTTCAAGACGAATAATCATCGTCTGCAGCATGCCCTAAATCATCCTGGCATGGTCATCATCTCAACAGGAAAATCGCCCAAAGCTAAATCATTTTCAACATAAGGTATCCCCGTCATCATCATCATCATCATCATCACGCTGATAATATTTTTTAATCCAGAAAGGACCGGAAGTAGTCAACATCATCACAAAAAAATGTCTTAAAAACTTTTTAAGTGGCGCCTCATCATCCTTGTCCCTGTCACCACAAAGTG